TAAAGTGGCGGTGGATCGCGCTCTCTCTGGTGGCCTCCATATCCCTGGCTAATTTCCTGCGCGCCAGAGGGGGCCTCTTGGTCGTGGATGGCTCATGTCAGTTTCCCCCCGCCGTCGTGTCACTGAGAGCCGCGCCGCGGCCGTGGGCCTCGGCATTTCCATCTTCGAACGCATTGGGGTGTCCCGGGGGGGGCAGTCGGGAGCAGTCCACTCTTTGTCGAATGCAACGGGATGCGCCCGAGAATCTTCTGCTGGCCCCCCGCAGCTTCCCACTGCCCCCTCCTCCGACGCGGTCGCGCCAGGCCCCCGGCGGACTGGGCGCGGCGGGCGCGCGACGGCGCAGCCCAGGGCCTGGCCCGGGTAGAGCGCGCTGGGCTCGGGGCGGTCCCTGAGACGATTGCCGCCCTCGCTGGCATGCAGGGCGGCGGCCGCCGCCGGGTTTGTTGCGGTCGACAATAGTCGGAAACTGGAACATATGCATTACCAGCGGCGGGCTGTTTTTCAATCCCGGGATTTCTCGGGGGTCGAGGGCGACGCCGGGGTGGCGCGGCGTGTATTTTTTCCCCGATGACACGGGGGAACAACGAGAAGTGCATGCGCCAACGTCCCGTGTGCGCCAGCATCCGCTCTACAGCGAATTCGAATGCAGGGCTGGGAGAAGCGTCGGTGTATAGAGCTCGCTTCCCTAAATAGGTCGCGCGAGGATTCCGCCTCGCGCGGGGACTTCGCCGACGTCCGCGTGGCTGCCTTGCTCGACCGTGTCGCCGCTATCGAGCCCGAGCTCTTGCGTGCGCGGCGCTCCTGCTGGGTCGCAGTCGGCCGCGAGCTGCGCGTGCCCTTGGTCCTGGGCTGGTGGCCCCAGAACGGGGGCGACTTCCAGGCCGCCGCCCGCTCTGGGGGGCGCGGCAAGGTGGGCGGAGGCATGGGCGAGAAGGGCAGTGGGGCGGGCGGGGGTTGGCGCTGGGCGCCCTCCAGGCTTGTGCGGGTCCTCTGCGCGACCAAGGGGCCGCGTCCCCCATCTTGGCGCCGCGGGCAGGGGCGTGGCCAGAACCCTTCCTCCCTTCAGACGCGCTGGAGAGAAGTTGCTCAACGGTCCGCCAACGACAACAGTAGGCTGGAGCTGCGATTTCCCGGGCTGTGATAGACTGCCCTGGTCGAGGCAGGGTTCTGGGCGGTCGCCGCGCCCGGCCCTGGCCAGGGAGGTGCGGCGGATGTCGTTTACCTTTTCGCATCGCGGCTCAATCGCGCCCGTTATTGGACTTCCATGGGCGGCGCCGGCCGCGCCAGCGTCGGCTGCGCGCGAGCTCGGCAAGGGGCTGTCATCGCATGATCGGGCTGGTGTTTGAGGCCGCGCGCGACTTCGCTTTCGACTTGTTCTCAGACTGTGCGCGCGCAGCGGGTGTCTGGGTTCGTTGCTGGATCCCCATCGACGCCGGCAATTGGGATTTGCTCCTGTGCCCATGTTGCGGCCCAACCGACTGCCTGGCCACCTGGGTGGAAGACAACTCGTCCAAGGAAGACATCGATCGAATCCAGACCGACAGCGAAAGGACGGCGAAGGGCCGAGAAATCAGGAGGGCGCCGGAGAAGAGGCTGTCGGGTCTGCCACATGCGCGGACATGCCGCTCGACTTATGATGATTCTGTCCTCCTACAGGGCGGATCTGAGCCAAAGTTGGCCATTCACGTAAAAAATACGTTTTTAATATGATGGGCAAGTACACGTTAAGTAAGGTGTGGAAGCCCTGATACGTTTTCGATTACGTCGTTGTGATCGATGTATTTTTGTACACTGATGCGAGCACGTCGCAAACCATCGGCCGTTATTGATGATGATGCGGAGGACGTTGATGACCACGATGATCATAAGGAGGATGACTGTGACGATGAGGACCGACGATCCGCGCGAGGGGTGAGCCGAAATGGGCGGCGTTCCCTGTTGGCCTCCCTAATGGGCCCTTTGGGGTACCATATGTCTGGGGGCTCCCCTTGGCTCCGAGGGAGTCTGGGGGGGGCGTCTAGGAGGGCCTCCAGGGGGCTCCCAGAGGGCTTCCAGGCAGGCTTCCAGGGAGTTCGGGGGGACTGCTCGGTGGCCTTCTAGGGAGTCTCGGGGAGGGGGGGGCGGTCTATGGTGGGCTTCTGCGGTGCTCTGAGGGGCGCTTTTAGGTGGGTTTCTTAGAGGTCGTCTAGGGTTTGGGGGCTTCTAGGTGGGCTTCTTTGGAGGTCGTCTAGGTGGGCTTCTTTGGAGGGCGTCTAGGTGGGCTTCTTGGAGGGCGTCTAGGTGGGCTTCTTGGAGGGTTTCTTGGAGAGCGTCTACGTGGGCTTCTTGGGGGGCGTCTAGGTGAGCTTGTATGTAGGTCGCCCTTGCCCCCCCCGCCGCACTGCTATCCCCCGCGCTCCATAACCATTTTGGCGAAAGGGCACCATGCCCTGGACTTCCATATTGAAGAAATCATCCGAGAACGAAGCTGGTGACGACATTCACACAGGATGGTCTCGGGTCTTGTTGGCTGCCGGAGCAGCCGACACGGAGGCACCAGCAGCTATTGACGCCGCCGACGGCGGCGACGAGGCAGTGTCCGCCATCGTCGTCGTGGCCCCGCCGCATGACGCAGCTGCTGCCGTTCAGAATTCGATCACTACGTCAGCTGACTTGTCTTTTTCTCGACATGGGTTGCCAAGAGAGGCGTTGGAACCATTTAACCGCCGCAGTGTATGGCGGAAACATGTTTCACATCTGCTGGGTCATATTTTCGGTCGCCGACACCAGGTTGCAGCTCACGGCCATGACGTTGGCCCTCTCCCTTTGCCCGACGCTCCTGAGTCTGAGGCCGATCACGGCGGCGACGAAGTCGACATTGCTGCCCCGCATGCTCCACCAGCTCCCATTCCGATAGATTCTCACCCGAATACCTTCCCAGCAGCAGTTCTCGAACAGAGCAGCGTCTGGTTGGAGCGTGCTGCAGCCCTGGTGGAATCTGCCTTGGGCACGCCTTTGGCACCGCACGTCGTCGACGGCAGTGCGAGGGACATGATGACGAAACTACTTGCGCCGAGTCACGTGGATAGGCCCATAAGTGCATCGACGATTGGAGACATATTGCATCGAAGCCACATAGACGTCGCCCAGACGATGGAGGACATTGCATGCACAAGTATCTTGATGTACCAACGTGACGCGGGCCGAATGCTTCGACAACATAGTAAAGATGTTATTGCGCGTGGAGGTAGACTCATTTGCTTCAGTCACAACTTGCAGTACGACTGCACCCCGCTCAAGACGACGATCAAGGACTTGGAAGATATAGGGCCATCGATTTGCGATACTGTTGAGAGCGACGCCGTGGTTGTGAGACGGATTGGAGTTTCGAAATTTGCCCTTGCAACCTCCCAGAGTTGCAACTACAAGCTGCTGCAAACCCATCAATCCATCAGTGCAGTGACGCAGACGGGCAACGATATCCTCCGCATCAATGTGAAGATTCCAGTTTGGTTGCAAGCAGTTTCTCGCGCGACTGGGGAGGTATATCTCCAAGCAGTGGCGGCCACAAACCCGAGGTTCGACGATATTGCTAGCCTTTATTCTCGGTCTCAACGGAGTGTATGCACCGATGCCGATGGAGCAGTGGAACGAGCTGAGCGCGGGATCGCACAGACGACTGCATCTTTGAGGGTTAAGTGCGAGGTGCACCGCGTCAGCGGCTCGATGAAGGAAGTGTTTGAGCCTCTGGAGCCGACGGTCAGTGCCAGCATCAATTTTAGCCTCACGCTCAGCAGCGCGACATCGATGCAGAGCTTACGGACATGCATCAGACAGGTTCTCTCAGATGGTCGGTTCGAGTATGTACGCGGTCGCCCAGAGGGACACCACATAAGCTATAATGAATCATTGCTGGACTTGTTCTGCGATGCAAGTACTATCTCAAGGGTTCACTGTCGATCTGCCCTCTTGCTGTTCTTCAATTACAAGTGGGATCAGTCTCAAGCGCGTCATGTTTGCAACGGGTGCTGCACTGGCCCAGAGAGCGCCTTGAAAAAGGCTTGCGCTCTAGTGTGCTCCATGCTGGTAGGACACGAACCTCCGACCTGGCCTCGCCACAAGTGGTTGGGCGCATCCAAGTCGGTCGACTACATCGGCCTGGCGCTGTCGATCCACCCACCGTTGTTCAAGGACGCGTACCTGAGATGGGCGAGTTCGGAGCCAGGGGGCGGCTCTTTGTTGACCAGGCTGGCGACGTGCGGCATGTGCAGTGGCAATCCTATTTCCAGCCTTGCCCCGAATGCCAGCAAGATCAGAGATGGCCTCGCCGAGAAGATCAAGAGATGCACCATTACGGACCTAGCAGCTCAGGCATCTTCCCAAAACATCCCTGCCATCGAAGATCGACATCCCAGGACGGAGGACTTGGAGAAGGCAAATGTTGGGAAAAAACAAGGTATATCACGCCACGTGTTGGAAGTATCTTTGAGGTGGTTTGTCTTGGGCCACCCTCTGCCTGGACTGATCGTACTGAAACGCATTATAACGCCGTTCGACATGATGTTGGTTGATTACATAGATACGTCGAGCCAGGATTGGAAACATCGTCAACAACAAGTGGCAGCTGCGGGGGGGTGCCGAGAGTATGCGATCCTCAAACAAGCTTTGCACAAGACGACTGAGCCAGCCCAGGCGGAGATCAGAGAGCTCTTTACCAACAGCGGCAGGTGGTGTATCACAAACAGCTTTTGTGTCGGATTTCCCGTTTGAAGGTTTTGGTGGTGGATATGCTGTTTACAAGGTTTCGTTGACGCATGTGTTGGCTTTTGCTTCTGAAAGCCTTTCCCCCGCACCCTGGGGAACATGGGGGGCGACGCGTGACGCTGTTGGTGGGGTTCTCTAGTCTCCTCAGGTGGATATGCATGCCATCAGAATTTCGGACCTCTGCGATGATAGCTCGGATATTCTGCATGTTAGGTGAAGCGTCCTGCAGCGTGTACAACTTGAGACGGCTGCACGAGAATTACCCGTTCAAGACTTTTCTGATTTTGGATTCGGCCGCTGGTGCACCTGGAGTTTGCAGTGAAAAGGAGTGCAGGCTTGACGAATGGACACTAGACTACCTCACGCATTATCGCACCCAGCTGGAGATAGACCCAAGGGGCCCTGCTGCAATCGCCGACCTGATCAGCACTGCCATGGACATCGATGTAGAGTCAGTTGCAGTGGAGGTGGGTCATACAGCAGTCCGAAGGTGTCTTGGTCAGCTCTCCTACCATTGCAAGACGGCCAGACTGGAGCAGGCATCTGCCCGATGGGCGTTGGGTAAACTCAAGAAGCTCGAGTACAGCTACGCCAGGGCAGGTGCGCGAGCAGCTATCAGGCGATCGCGCTGCATTTCTAGCCCCACGGATCAGAGGAGCTTACCTCAGAAGCGAAAGCGCGGTGGTGGTGGTCTGTGGAGGGAGCATGTAAAGAGCACGAAGGGGACACCAGGACGACCTTGTCTACGAGCACTTGGGATATCATATCGTGGTCTTTCTGCTGCTCAGAAGGCGACGCTCAGGCAACCCGCGAAGCTGGCTACCCGTCGACATCGCGAAGGGGCGAAAATGCAAACAGCCAGAACGATTGCGCGCCAGCTTGCAAAAACGAGGCTTGAAGAGACCTCACTTGCTATTCGCTCGGCAATCTTGAGTGGCGGGCGCATGGCTGCATCAGATGTGCTGCGAAGATTTCATCCTGATGGCTCCAACTGGGACGTGGCTAAGCGATTACTGAGGGCCCATGGCAAGGCAGTGGCCAAGCTCGAGGCCGCGTCTGAGGACGTCCTAGCTGCTTTCATCGATGGCGACGCTTTGAAGCCCGATGGCTTTTCGTCGGTCTTCGCAGGCCCTGGGCGAGCAGCGGCACATCCACGTCAGTCAGAGTTTGTGGCGTTGCCTGAGACCTTCAAGTTTGCAGATGGTTATACGTTTCGCCACGCATCCTGGCAGCCAATGGACTTGTCTCGTCGAGTCATCAATGCATTGTCCCTCCAGGGTCGCGAGCCCCCCACGGTGAAGCTGCGGAAAGCTATCCGAAAAATATGGGCACGGTGGCACACAGCAATACATCATGAACCAAGTGTTGTTATTCCAACTTATGATTCTGTGCGACGGCCTTGCTGGGAGGCTGGTTTATGCGTGTGCTGCCCCGATGGTGAACTGGCCGCCCGATTGAGGAGATCATTCTGGAAAGTTGTTCGATCTGTTTTCAGGGCACACTCCAAGGAACGAGACGCGCTAAAGTTTGCAGAGGTTTGCGTGCTGTTCGTAGGTGATCGGCGAGATGGCCCAGTCGACGGAGGTGGTGGTGAAGACACCCCGCATTCAGTGCACGAAGTTCTGTGGAGGCAGATGGGTGACGTTGACATGGCCAAGTGGACTTGCGCCTTCATGGGCCTGGGGTGCCCCGACATGGACGGATTCATCGGCGGCCCCGTGCAGGAGGGCGACGTACAGCGCACAGTGAATATCCAGGCGTGGCAGCACCACAGCGACGATTGGCAGATGGCGTCCTATCTTAACAAAAGGTTGCGGTGGCGCATTTGCTTCTACGGTGTGCTATTTACTGGTCACTCGGTCTCAGACTTCGTGCCAACACGCGTTCAAGCTGCTCTTCTGGAAGTCCCGCATGATCATCATGCGCCTCAGGCAGTGCTGCGCACCATCTGGGATCCATGGAAGAAGAGGCGCGCAGGTCAGAAGCCCGAGAAACCAAGCACGTGGACTAAGGTGTTGGAGAAGGCCGACGCTCCCCCAGCGATCGAGGACGCAGCAGGGGAGTCAGACGGCATGGGGGGCACTGATGGTGCCTCAAGTGTCGGCCACGCTGCCCACGAGGACTACGACAGCATCCACGGGCATTCTGATGTCGGCGTGGAGCCAGGAGTCGACGTGCTCGAAGACAGCGACGACGGCCTGCCAGAGATCAAGGGGGAGGAGGGTATTCCACCAGGAGGCGCGCCTGGCGGTGGAGAGGGCGACGCTGGGGGTGATGGCGGGGGCGGCCCCCCACCTGCGGCCCCACCACCGCCGCCGCCACCAGGGCCCCCTCCAGGGCCCCCGCCAGCAGCACACCACCCCGTCCCAGCAGAGGTATCAGTTACAATTGATGGTGTTGGCAGGCTCGTTTGGTATCGCAAGAGTGATGACTTCTATGCGTACTGCCATTACGAGGGTCACAAAGGCCAGAAATGTGTTCGTTGCAGGACCTGCAAGCCAGGAAAAAGGGCGGGCCAAGGCCGTCCTCTTGGCCTGTTGTACGCGTGGTTGAAAGACCAAGTGAACCATTTGAATGCCCCCGACCACAAGACCTTGTCATATGTTACTCCTGAGGAGAGGGTTGTGGCAAGGCACGAGTTGAGAGCGATGATAGTTGACAGTCCGATGTTGCAAGCTCTGTTTGACAGGGAGAGGCCGCCCCACGTGGGTGAGCCAGACGAGCCAGTCTTAATTTCATGATGTTTCACTTGCTACGCATATTGCCTGGATATATCTTGATATGCGCTGCGGAAGCGTAGATCTTAAAAGGTTGTCCCCGCTGGTGGTCCCTCCAGGGTGTCACTGTAAATCGTGTGGTCTATGCTGCTCTGTTGCTCCCCCCCCCTTCGGGAACAGGGGAATGGGCGAGAAGGAGGATGGGGGGGGGGGAGGGCAAGGACGAGATCCACATTCAGACTCATTCACGCTCGGACTCTCTCACACAAGACTCGCCCATTCTTACACCCACTCACGCTCAGACTCACTCGCATTCGGTCTAACGCACTCAGACCACTCACACTCCGATATACTGAGACTCAATCTTGCCAAACTTCCGAACACTCTGTCGCTAGTGCCAAGACCCACTCACACTCGCTTCTCTTCCCCAAGGCTCGCCCATGCTCACCGCGATATTGCAGGTATCGCACTCGATCACATCAAGGAGGGGCCGCCTCGAGCGGGGGGGGGGGCATTGAATTCATATGTGCACCCTGGGAAGGGGAGGGGACTGACCGACACTCAGGATCGGCCGAACGACTCAGGATGGAGGGAGCCTAACGACTCAGGATCGGCCGACCGACTCAGGGGACCGAGGGGCCCAGGAGGGAGGGGCCCGAACGACTCAGGGGGAAGGGGAGGAAGGTTGGATGGTTGGATGGTTGGTTGATGCTCGTATTGTTGGTTGATTGATTGGCCTGTTAGCTGCTAGCCGCGTTACTGGCTGGCTGGTTGAGATGCCCATCGATCGGATGGTTGTGTTGAGTGGGCGACTTGGCAAAGATGGGCCATGAGCCTCCCACGATTCATGTGTGTTGCGAGTTGTTTCGGTTGGCTTGTTTGGACTGTTGTGGAGCGAGGCGAGTGTCACCGCGCGACGCGCGGTGCGTCAGCTAGGAGCTCTGGCACCAAGACTCTCTTTGAGGCCGTCCGCCGTCCGCCCCCCCGAAGCCCTCGGCCGACGATCCGTGCGAGGGGTGAGACGGAATGGGCGAGCTCCCTGGCCGCTCTCCTAGTGGGCCCCTTGGGGTACAGGGTGTCTGGGGGGCTCCCTGCGGCCCCGATGGGGTCCAACGGGGTTCTAGAGGGACTTCTGGGAAAGCGTCTTGGGTGGCCTCTTAGGGGTCTTGGGTAGCATTTGGGGGGGGCATCGAGGGAATCGTGGCTGGGCCGTCCAGGGGGGCCCCTGAGAGGACCTCAGGATGCTTCTAAGAGGACCTCCAGGCTTCTTGGGCGTCCCTACTTCTCCTCCTCGGGCACCGTCGGGGGTAAAGGCATGGCAAGCCATGTCAGTCTGGCGACCACGGGGGTCGTGGGAAGGACCCTTCTTCCCCCCCTCAAGGGGATGGGAGGGGCCCCCCCCGCCTCGCTGCACCCCTTCGGGGTGTCAGTGCCCCGTGGCCCTGACCAGCTTTGAGCCGCTGCCGCCAGCAGGCTTCTCCCCCACTCCGTTCCCTTTGTCCACCTTCCGTGTGGAAGGTGGACAGAGGGGGGCGCCCTTCCGCACCCTCCGTTCGGAGGGGAAGACGGGGCCCAGGAGGGGCGGCCCCTCCCCTTACGGGCACTGCGCCTGAGGGGGCCGCGGGGGAGGAGGAGCCTCGCCCTCCTTTCGTTTTGCGTGGGAAGATTGCGCGTTCTGGCCAACCTTGCAAAGGCGAATCCAGCAGCGGCGACGAAGGAGCCCCTGGAACCCGAAAAGCGCCCACCTCCTCCTCTTCCTCCTCCTTCTTGGGGCCCGAAGTATTCAACAGGCTCACGCCTTTCCGCCATGCCTCTCGGCGCGCTCCGCCCCCCCTGGCGCTTACGAGTGGCGACAGTTGCGCATGTGGCAGCCCGCGGGCGGCGTTTCGCTGGCTGGTTGACTGGCTGGTGGGCCTCGTGGCAGTGCGGTTGGTGTGGCTGGTTGGTTGTCTGGCTGGTTGGTTATCTGGCGTGGTTGGCTGGCTGGTTGGTTCTATGGTTGGTTGGTTGGTTTGCTGTCTGGCTGTATGGCTGGTTGGGTTGCTTGGCTGGTTGGTTATCCAAGAGGCTTGCGCCATTCCGACGTGCCTCCCAGCATGCTCCGCTCCCCCCCATCCGCCCCCAAAGTGGCGACGGTTGCTTGTGTGGCAGCCCTCAGGTGGCTTACAGCTGGCTGGTTGCACTGGTTGGCTGGTTTCTGACAGCGGCCGCCCGCTGGTTTGCGCTGGTTAGCTTGGTTGGGTGATATGTGGGGCGCGCCGCTCTGCTAGGGTCGCGTTCGGCTCGTTGGTTGCGCTGGCTGGTTGGGCGAGACCCACTGGCTTGGGGCTTAGGGCGCAAGCTCAGGGCCTGAGACTTCCAATCACGCGGCCTGTGCGCCTGCGGCCTGCGGCCTAGAGCGCGCGGCGCGCGGCCTGGGGCTTCAACGCCCGCGGCATGGCATGCTGGCTGGCGCTCGAGCGCTGGGGCATAACCCATAGTGCGCTTACGGCCAAAGGCTCGCGGCTCAGGGCTGCAACGCCCAAAACATCTGCGCGCGCGGCCTTTGCGCCCGCGGCCTGCGGCTCATGGCCCGAGGCGCATACGATCGTTGCTTATGGCTGGCGGGGTGCCGCGGGGAACCCGCGGAGCCCCGCGGACTACCGTGCTCGCGGATTGCGGCATAGGGCTCGCTGCTCGGATCACCGAGCCTCGAGCACAAGGCTGTTGGGCGCATGGGGGTCGGGCTTCAGCGTCCACGCCCGTGGCTCGGGGCATGGGGCGCAGGGCGCAGTGCTCAAGGTTTACATTCCAGGGCCTCGGGCTCAGGGCTCAGGGCGTGGCACTTTGGCATTCGGACTTGAGGCGTCGGGCGTCGTGTTTAAGCCATGCGGAGTCTGGCCTCGGGCGGTGGGTTTCGAGCGTCGGGCTCAAGGCTCACGGCGTTCGGCCCAGGGCACAGGGCGCAATGTTTGCGGCATGGAGCTGCGGGCTGAGGGCGTCGGGCATCAAGTCGATGGCTGAAGGTTTGAGGCTTGGGGCTCGGGGCTTAACAACATGTGGCTTCTGACTGTGAGCATGCGGCTTGGGCACTGCAGCCCCGCGCGCAGGGCCAGAAGCCCAGGGCGCTACTCAGTATGCCTAGGGCCTGAGAGGCACGGTGCGGTGCTAAGGGCATCGGGCTTGGGGCTCTGGGCTCTGACCTTCGAGCATGAGGTTTAAGGTTCGGTAACTGCCAGGGCTTGCGGCGTAGGGCGTAAGGCCTGAGGGCCCGCTGCGGCTTTCGATGCAGCGGGTGGCGCGACCTAGTCGACGCCTGCTCTACTCTGCGTCCGTCAAGCGGCCAATTGCGCGATCGTCCTGGGGCCGCAGGGGCGTCGCCGATATGGCAATCCCTTCAGTGGGCGCGCGACGTGGGCACGTGGCACGAGC